CCGGGAAGGGACCTTTAAGCCGGCTGAATTTTCAGGAAGGCAACCATCATGTTGCTCTCATAGCACTATCTCGGACACTAGGAGCGTGACGAATGTATTCGGCACGGCCCTTGGGTCTAAGATACACCGGGTGTTCAAACCCACATACCGTACGTCGTACAAACCCCTATTGATAAGGGCCCCGACCTATGCTATAAAAACGCAGTGGAATTGCCCGTCATATCCTATACTCGACCTGCCCGTCGAGACTTGGATCCGACAACTTAAAGAGCTTCAACCAACGATACTCATCTTCACACAACAACGAGATGGACCCCCTCGCAGAGGTAGGCACATCACATTGTTACGAAGCGATACCCAGACTTACATCGGTACTACTAAGGCAAACCGTATGCTCCAAGAACGTGCGGAACAGCCTTCCCCGGACGGCGATGATCAGGCTAACCGCCCGACCACCCCCAACAGGGAGCCACCCCCCACTTCCCTATACCAACTGGGCTTCACCGGTCATCGCATCAGGTCTATGCCCGGGACCGAGTCCGAACCAGGTACCCCTACCGCTGCCCGCCACTCGATCCTGGAAGGTAGTCGACTGGGATCGTTGGCCCCATTAGCTGAGGATACCGAAGGACCCTCGGGCCTGTATAACGTCGGGGGCAGAGGCCAAGGCCCTACCACTACCCATGGCATCGAATGGCCCAGCTCGGCGAACAATGTACCCTGGTCTTGCACCGCTGACCTCCCTATCGGGAGTGACTTCCGCAATTGGAACGAAGCGAAGAGCAAGTTCTTGCAAGCTATCTTCACCCTGGTGTCCATCAGGGACACGTTCTATGTCGGCAACTCTGGCGACCCCAACTCCTCCCTCGCTGACCCGGCTTGGGCCACCTTCTTTAACGCAATGTCCGATGAGGTAGCAGCTGTTCCCAGCGACCTCGACGACGACAAATCCATGTACCCAGGGGAAGCCATGCACAACCTCGCCGACCGTTCACCGGTCACTATCTTTACGAGAATACTGAGCGAGCTTAACGCTGCTTGGTACGACTCTCTCTCCCACGCCCAATGACGATCTGCCATAACCATCCTCGTCCCTCCCGCTATCGAAAAGCTTGCCAATGCGGTGGCTGTCATGGACCTTTCGGAACGCGTCAAAGTTTACGAGGATGAGGAAAACACCCTCGTCAACTCAGTAAACCGGAACGTACTCAAACTGGAGACTGTCGTCACCAAATCGTTGTCACACGTTGATACTCAGCTGAAACTCATCGAGGCAAAGCTATCCCGTGTATCTGCCCAAGCTTCTCGCTCAGGCAATGGACTTTCCACGACTTCGGGGGCCTTGCGCTTCACCAAAACCACGATGCCCGCGGACGAAAGGTCACATGTTGTTGGGGAGAAGCGCAAAGACGCCTTCAGCCTCCCCGACAGAGCCCCTAAACGAGGAAAGGCCGCGGACGGAGCGACCACCGTTCGTACGGCGGAATCTCTCCCCCCCATGCCGTCCACATTTACGATGCAGGACGTATCCCGATGCACCCCGATTGTGACCACCGTACTCGAAGCAGGATACGATATCAGCTTCGAAGCCGCCAAGATCCTCGTTGAAAAATTTGGCGACGTCTCACAACGTCGAGCCAAACTCATCCAAGCCCATGGAGGCGCATCCACAGGACCCATCAAGGCGTTGGTCTTAACGGCAGCGACCGCTGCAGCAGAACACGCGGGGACGCAGGTCCAAGCCACCCTCGACGGGGGATTCTACAACCCGGCCACGGCGCGTGCCGCCGAAAAGTCAAACAATATCTCGAAGGCGCTGAACCAACGCAAAGAAGCGGCAAGGAGTGCCTCCGCCACTCACACGCAACCCCCGAATGCACACCGGAAGATCGTTCGGGTACAATTCACTAACCAGACGCTACCCGCCGAGGGAACGCGCAGGACGCCCGAAGACATCCAAGCCTTCGTCGCCACGCAGATCACCAAGATAGGGGGTACCCCGAATCCTGTGATCTCCATCACCTACCGAGGATCGTTCCTCGACCTCCTTTTCACTGCCCGCCCTGAGGAAGCCATCGTCACCCGCCTTGGCGAGATGAGTGGCTGGTTCTTGAACCAAGGCTCAGAAGAACTACGCAACGCTACCCCGTGGCCCATAGTGGACTTCTACAAGCCCATTGCGTGCATGAACATCTTCGGTATACCAGTCCTGGATGCCAAGGCGAACGTCAAACTCACCGTCGAGGAGGTCTACGCCACCATCGTCGCTGAAAACGAATGGCTACAGGGTCTTATTTTGGACCCTATGTCCGCTCCCTGCATGTCGCTATACGCCCCGGTGGGGGATACCTGCACCGTGCAGGTCTCTATCATCGACGGCAGCCCCTCGTACGTGGAACGCTGGATCACCCAGAGGAAACGGGTGTCCTTCAGGGAAAAGAAGTACACTATCGGACACGCACATCCGCAAACCTTTGTCCCGCTATGCCTGAAATGTCTCAAGTGGGGACACGTCGGAGGAGCATGCGGTATGGGAGGAAAGTTCAACTCCCAGGCACTGTGTCACAAGTGCAGCCTCATGCATTCTACGGAACAGCACCAGTATGTTCTCACGAACATTAATGACACGAGGCTAATCACCAGACCAATAGGGCCTTTTGCCAGCATGACGAATGCAAGAGAACACGGCTCGAGACCCTCAACCCGTGGGTCGAGAACTGCCCCCCTGAACATGCCAAGCGTCGCAACTGCAAGGCGTGGGGTCACTCTGCCACCTCCACCCTGTGCCCGTGTTGGAAACTACGTACGCAGCCCGATAAACTCGAAGCCTTCTGGAAGCGAGAAGGTGTCGACGACGCTACCATTAGAGCCTTATCTAAGGGCTACAACCCTGAGCGTGAAATCCGTATGGAGGCTAAACGCCTGGGAGGTCACACGGGCGAAGGGGACGATGATTCTGACCCCATTAACCAAGGTCATGAGGCTAAAGCACCAGCGCCCTCTGCTATCGCGGACTACGATGACGACATGTATATGTAATGAGCACGAAGTTGTACTGCGCAGCATGCAAACAATAACAAATTCGATTCACGAATATAAAACTGGGGGAATTGAGACACAGATGGAAGAAATCCACCGTTTCGCCATGAAGTACGTTTTCGTCAAAGAAAACATGGATAACTACCGTCTACAGCTCACCACAATGTGGCCGCCGACGTTCTTATTCTTCGAAGAGTTCGTCCTACCTGTGGAGCAAACGTCCCAGGTTGTGCCGTACGTCCCGAACATGTACGACGACAATCTCGCTCGCGGAAACAACGCAAACTGGGTTCCCACCAGGCCTGCGTCCCCTTCCCGTTCTCCGACCATGCCGGGTCCCCCGGCCCTCGAGTTCGAACTCCCGATCGTGCAGGACGACAACGACCCCGCATGGAAAGACGTCCCCACGTATTCCCCACGGGTTGGCCCCCCTCGACCATATCAACCCCGGTGGGGGAATCGGGCAGGGGATCAGGGACAGTGGGTAGACCTCGCCCGTCTCGAGTGGCGTTTCGAAGACGCCATCCACAAACAACAACGAGGGGTTCGCCTTTCAAAGGCCATGATCATCGACCCGGTGGTCAACTCCCCTCCCCCCCAGACCAACAACTCACCGTCCAGGGAGAAATTTGACATCCCCCTCCACTACGCATACCTCCTCAAGGAGGTCGTCAACGGAGCTATACAGGAGGTGGAGGCTCTAGAGGTGCTCCAGGTGAGCTATCTTAACTTCATCCATGAGCGACGACAAGTAACCCTTAATAGGGAGGAATGGATCCTCTTAACAAGGGGAAAGTCCTCGACGACGCCATCGAGACCAGGCTCCACATGGTGGGGGCGACGACGGTCACCGCCCGTAGCGATCTTGCGGACCTCATTGAGGCCGCAATGTACGACCGCGCTATCAAGCGGAAGGACGCGTTCGTCCTTCTCGAAATGGCCAAGCAGGCCATTAAAGACAACGGGAATAGCGGCAACGACCCCTACCCGGTCGTCAGCCTTCCCTTCACATCCCATTTGGGGCCGGTCATCTGCAGCCCTACGGTGGAATGCGCGGCCGAGATCACCGAGGCCTTGGGACCCAACGTCCAATGGCAGTGCGATGGATACGCCAAAGACGAGGTTGACCCTGAGTTGTTTGGGGAACACGATGATAATATGGACGGAGAGTGTGCTTGGTAATGGAGCCCCTCATCGTATAGTCTACTGTATAACGAAACACCAATACGTTGCCTATGAGTAGTACAAAAATCGAACTGGACGTAGTGGCGGACCCGAAAGACCGCCCTTGTGACCATTCAATAACTCTACCGTCGCCTGAGATCGGCTTTACTGTCGATCTCTCGCTCGATGAGAATGATCAGACAAACCAAGGAGTAAACCACGAAGTGGATTACCTTGTAAACATGTACCAGGAAAACTGGGACACGGATGACGACGAGGACTTCCCCTCTGATGAAGATGACGACGAGGACTTCCCCTCTGATGAAGATGACGATATAAATGATCTACCGCCCCCCCTTGACATAAACCTGGAAAGGGCGGAGGCGGAAGCCAGGGTTAAACAACCCAATAACGATCAACCCCCTACATCCCGGGAGGGTAATAACAGACCATTCACCATGGTTTCCTTTAACGTTCAGAAATCGAAGGACAACCTTCAGATCTTCTTAGAACGAAATTATCGAACGGCAGACGTCGTGTTAGTGCAAGAACCCTTTTGGGGTTATATTAAACAAGTAATGTCTACCACGTCGAAAGACGGGGACGAATACCACCAAGGAATCACACACAGACAGTATATGTTCCTCGGAGCATCTGAGAAAGGACGAGTGTGCACCATCGTCAATAGACGGTGGGCACACCTCGCACCGAGACTTAACACGGGCATCGTAAATCATGACGACGCCCAATGCCTGGAGCTCACCATGCCCAACAAACAAATCATACGTATCCTTAATGTGTACAATGATTCCAAAACACACAGTGCTCAGCACTACCTAGAAAATAAAGCCGGCAACATGCCAGAAATACATTTCATGGCAGGCGACTTTAACTTGCGTCATCACATGTGGGACTCCACCGTCCCCATTGGAGCTAGGGCCAACCGCCAAGCGGAAGACCTTATTACGATGTGTACGCTGGACATGAACTTGTCCTTGAGCACATCACCCGAACACGCTAGTACATGGTCGTCCAACAGAGAGGACCAAAGCGATGGAACCCTAGACCTAGTCTGGACCAACGAAGATATCAATGTCATAGACATTGAACACCGACATGATCAACAAGTTAATAGTGATCATTGCCCAGTATTCGTTCGAATCGACCTGGAAACAGTCGAAAAAATTACGTACACGGTTAAGAGAGGGTCAGAAAATGGCCAGAAATTCATTAAAGCCTGTCGGGGACGTCTCGCAGCGATGCCCACCCACATCGATGATTATACCTCTGAAGAGGACATCGAGCGATGGGGAAATTGGATCCAATATACGTTCGACACAGCCTGGTCAGCTAACGTCGAGAAAGTCAAGCCTTCACACCATGCAAAATCGTGGTGGAATGCTGAGTGCAACAAAAGGGCCAAGGAGTTACGTAATATATGTGCTTCGGTCAAATCTATTAAAAAAGACATCCGGAGGCGAAACAAGCTAATCCGGGCGAGACACATCATGATTCGTCGTCTTGGAATATCTGAGAATGATGATGAGATACTAATTAGTATCGAGAACAAAAACGATCTGGCTGCTATCCACCTTGTGGAGGAAGCCCAGAAAGTAAAGAATGCGTCCAACCGCCTCCGAGCGGCGGCCAAACGAGCTAAACGTGATTTCTTCGAAGGGGTGTTGAAACACACACACCCTTCGAGGATATGGAACAATGTTGAGTGGACGAAGCCACGAAAACAAGTGGCTAACGTCGCCCTCACAAACAGCCAAGGGGATATTGTCACCGACTCGAAAGGGGTCGGAGAAATATTCCAACAACAATTTACTCCGACCAATGGTCGACCTGTTGACATGACCATTGCTGACGAGATGGAGCAGCTCGAGGAAAGAGCTTTCCCACCCATGAGTCGCACTGAAATGCGAGACGCCCTCAAGGGCACTAGCAACTTTTCCGCACCGGGCCCAGACAACGTCTCGTGGTTCTGGCTCAAACGAATACTCAAAGACGAATCATCCCCCGATTATCGCAGTGATGATGAGTCCGACAAGAAAGATTGCGAGCTTCCCATACTCGTATTTTACGATGCATGCGTCAAGCTAGGAATACAACCAAGGGTGTTCAAGGTCTCGAAAACGGTTATCATAGCGAAGCCAAAGAGACCTGATTACACCAAGGCAAAGGCTTACCGGCCCATCGTCCTCCTCAATTGCTTGGGCAAATTGATGGAGAAAATAATATCCCGACGAATGCAATTTGAAGCACAAAAGTATGGTGCAATGCACCCGTGTCAATTCGGTGGTACAATGCAACATAGTACCACGGATGCAGGTATACAACTTGTCCACAATGTGAAACAGTTGTGGAAGAAAGGAATTGACTCTTCGGCAGTCCTGCTCGACGTCGCCCAATTCTTCCCATCGGTCAATCACAACCTCCTGACGAGAATCTTGTCCAAACAAGGATTCGCTGGAAATTTGTGTAAATATTTCGTCAGTTACCTGTCAGACAGACAGACACAATTCATGTTTAATGGGGAAACCCTTGACCCTATGGACTTCTCCTTAGGAGTCGGACAAGGATCAAGCCTTTCCCCCATTCTTACGGGCCTATACCTAGCCCCGGCCATGCACAAAATCGCCCCCTTGAAAAAGGCGATTACCCTTACCTTAGGGGACCACCGAGTCACGGTCCGCACACAGTGGACTGACAAAAACATACAGGCCAACGGACATGCCACTGTGCAGTTCTTCGTCGACGACGGTCTCATACACGTTGGGGGCAAGCTAGGCAAAGGGTCGGAAGACCCAGACCACGAGCAGCTGCTGTACAATAATGTCCTACTCCAGGACATATACTCCAAACTGATACATACCCTACATAGACTAGGGTTATCAGCAGAAACTGATAAACTTGAGTTAATGCACTTCATCCGCCGGCGGAAAGCCAAAGGGTGGAAGTGGAGTGATGAGCAACCACTTGGTCCCAAATTACGAGTTTACGATGAAAATTCGTCATTCGTCATTACCCCCAAACCTGTGATGAAGTATCTAGGCTTCTGGCTTGACCCGAAGCTTACGTTCAGGGACCATATCAAGGTCTACACGAACAAGGCTTGCAGCACTGTTGCCGCAATCCACATGTTGGGCAACTCGTCCAGAGGACTCAAGCCTCGAGATAAACGACGGATTTATATATCTAATGTGGTACCCTTGCTGTCCTATGGGGCACAACTATGGTGGAACCCCTCCTGGAAGGGTATACACTGGATCGAGAAAGAACTGTCCAAGGCCCAGAGCCGGGCAGCCCGTTGGATCACGGGGGCGTTCAAAACGACCCCCGTGGGCTTTCTCGAAATGTCTGCAGGACTAATTCCTGTCCGACAGAACATTAACAAACTCATGAAACGTGCAGCATTGCGCACACACATGTTACACGAAAATCATCCTATAACGGCCCACATGCCAAATTTGATGGAAAGTGGGACACTTAATATTAAGGCACCGCTCCCATACCACGGAACAAAAACTAGAGATGCCGAAACCCCCATAGTAACGGCATACAAAGTTACGGAGGGCTTCACGGAGGAATTTAACTCCATTAGCACCGAAGCAAAACCGGGAAACCGCATATTAGACTTATATGCAGACCGCATCACCATGAGCCTTGAGGGCCCACCGAAGGCCCAGAAGGAAGAACTCCATGAATGGATAAGGACGTTCCTTAATCCAATCATAAAATTAGCCTCTTCCGATTACGGAAGCCGGGCAGTGTTCACTGACGGCTCACAACGTAAAACACACGAGGAAAATGAACCTGAAAAGGTCATTACTGGTGCTGCATGCTCAGTCACGTACACCCTAGAAAGGGGCGAACGAAAAACCATAGAAAAGAAAGTAGGGTGTGGCCAAGTCACACCATTTGATGCAGAAATGCAGGCCCTGTGGATGGGCATTAACACGGCGTGCAACGCGCCGGGAAAACACAAATTGTTATACCTATTTGTGGACAATAAAGGAGCGCTACAGCGCATCTTTAACCCGCGGATTGGCCCCTCACAAAAATGCTCCTTGCTAGCTAGCGAACGCATACGATGCTGGTTGGAAGCAGACCCCGAACGAACCATACACATGTCATGGTGCCCGAGCCATGTAAATGTGCCATTGAACGAACGAGTTGATACCCTAGCTAAAGAGGGGACTGAACTCACGCAACCCGCGATTAAATCTTATGCCTACATCAAGCAAAAGATTACTGAGAATGAAGTTCGCGTATGGCGACAGAAAATCAAGGAGTCCCCTAAATATAGAGGACACCAATTGATAGCTGGAGATCATCACGATCACCTACGACAAATCAAACACACGTCCTCGAACTGGTTCATAGCCCACAGCGGGGGAAAGAACCGAGAGATGGGCAGACTCACAAGGTTAATGTCTGGACACGCACCGATTGGAGCGTTCCGACAACGATTTAACCTAGAAGGACCCACCACATGCTGGTATTGCCACCATGAACTGGGTCAAACAACGACGGAAACAAGGGATCACATGATATACATGTGCCCAGGTTGGAGCCGTCTATACGACTTTAAAACAATGCACATAGCGGGTCACCCGTTGTATGACAAGACCAAGATAGGACACCGTCTCAAAACTGATACCGAAGTACGCGAAATGCATCGCGCGTACTGGGAGACACAAAATGACTTGACTAAAGTCGACGAATTGACTGAGTACAGCCAAGACCTCAACTACAGAAAGAAAATACTAGGCACCAAGTGGGAAGATATCTACCACTTCGTGCGAGCTAACCCCATGGCGGGTACCTTCGAATGGTCTGACCTTGTTGATAAAGCATTTGAGGATGCCAACAAAGGTCGTGACTATACAACGTCAGTCCACATATGGAAAGCTCTCATGCACTCGAAGAGACGCAAGGAGAAACGAAATGATTACACTAAAGATTTGGAACAGCGCTGTAGAGCCACATACTCCAGCGCGGTTCGACATCAC